CATTAGTAAAGAAAGGGCTCCATTTTTGTGTGCTTATAGTTTTTTTTTTTTTAATTTAACTGTTTATTACATATTAAAGTATGCTTAAAGTCGCCATGAARTGTATAGCATCTTTTGATTTTGGTGTAATGAGGAACTACTGAGCTTTTCTTGAAATTTTCCTTCAAGTAATAATTAGGCTGTGTATGAAAACTACTCAAATACGCATTGTATCTAAGCAACATAAATGCTTCTTAAGACTTTTCTTGATTCCTTAAGTTGAAATAGACTTGAAGAATAGCTTGTTTTGGCTTTTTTCCAGTGATAAGTAACTGACTCTGCAAAATCAATGTTTAGTAAGTCACTGGAACATTTGCTAATAAGATGGTAGAATAAATGAGTTTTTAATTGAGTTAAATAATTGTTCAATCAAATGCRTGTGTTTATGTTCATTCTTGCTAGATTTGAATATTTCAATCAAATTGGATTTTTTCAAATTCATCTCCAGTAATGAAGAAATTTTTTTCAAAAGTTAAATTAGATCTTGCCACATCTTATTTTCATATTTCAAAGGAAAACACAAAATACTAAAGTCACAATAGTAGTATGAAATTTAGTACTAGTGGTCTACCTGAAGTTCCTCAGATTCTGGCTTGCATGGAAAGTCCTTTAACACTGCGTTTCCCATACTGTAAAAAMCAGACACACTTTGCAGTCTGTTACTAATCAGCAGCTGAGTCTTTGGCATGGTTCATTCTTACTTTCCTTTACTACTTTTTTTTTTCTGGGTGTGGGGTCTGGTGAGGCAGAGAAGGACTACAGAAGTACCTGGTCTGTTTAGGAAGTGGTTGTTCTGTGCACAGGGAATACAAAATGGTTTTTTTCAGGGAATTATGCAGTGGACTTGTTAGATAGGTCACCACATGGAAATTATATGGGCTCTTGGGAGCATCAGTTACTGCAGAATAATCATGAATATCCCAGAATAGGTACAAACATTAGGATTTAGAGCAGCTTTTTTCTTCCCAAAACACTTTTCTGTTTAAACACTTTGAGTAAAGGAGATCTTCATGTGCAGTCTCCCAACATATGCTGTCTCTTTTCWTAAGGGTGTGTGTTTTGGACATCTTCTCAAAGGCAACAGCTGTCTTACACACCAGCAASATCCAGTAATATTTTGTACATGCTGACGACTTCAGGCTTGAAACGTTGGCAAACTAAGGGAATGTGAGTGATGATGCAGAGAAATAGCAGAGAGGGAGAGCAACAAGGGTGTAACTGGCTGGAACTTCAGCACCTGAGCTCTGCTAAACACTCTTTATTTCTTGGCTTTTAGGATGCTCYTGTGTTTGTGTGTCACAAAATATTTTCTTCTGGAGGTTGTTTCTTTAATTCTGGTTCTGAGTTGAGGAAGATTTGAGCACCTAAAAATGAAACTCAGGAAAACAATTGAGAGAAACCACTAGTGAAAATTTTACATATGTGTAAAGAGAGTGTAGAGAGATATTAATTGTTGTGGAAGGAGAGACTGACTTCATATGATTGCTTTTTCTGTGCTGTTGATGTAGAAGCAGTTAATCTTAGCATAAGTCACTCCTGCTTAATTTTTAACATTTCTCTTTTCAACATGTGTGAGGTTGGTACATTCAAAGTAGTGCAGTGTTAAATTGGTCAAATTGATTTCTGAACCACTGCTGTTTCTGTTTTAGCCATTCTCTGGGGGTAAGGTGACTCCTACAGTAGTAGAATGATGCAAAGTGAGAAAYGCTGTCAGAAATTAAAGGGAAATATTCTTAGCTTTGTCTCTGTACAAATGTTAGAACAAGCAGCATTCCTGAACACAGGTGTGTTATTTGTAGAGAAAGGCAGAGCAATGAGGAGTGTGATTGGGTGGCAGTATGAGACAAAGAGCATGAGAAATATTGTGTTAGACGTTAAGAATGGTCTTTTGAATTTGTCAGAYGTCTCGTTCTGATAATTCTGTTTGATAGTCTAGTTGGCCTGATGGGTAAAAGAAGCAGTAGCTGCAGATGCAGTGGGGTTCTGACAAAACTGTGTAACTTGAAAGCTTACTGTGTTTCTTGAATTGTGGTCTTGCTGGTCACTGCACTGCCTTCCTGACAAGAGTCTGAATTACGTTTTCCTATGAGTTCTGAGCTAGAACTTTTAAGATGGTTGTCTGAGGAACTCGATACTGACAGTGATACATTGGTACTAAAGGTAGTGGGTCATTAGTTGAAGTAATAACTGGYTTAATCTGTGGTAATTGATTACTGWTGAGTCAATTAAGACTGCACYTCAGGTGAGGTCCTGCAGAGTTCTCTTTCATCTTGTGTCTCTAACACATTGAAGAAACTTGGTTGGTAGAATAGAAAGTATGTTTAGAAAAAAATAAAGTCATTACCAAATGCTTTTAAAGGCAGTTTTGAATTTTAATTCTGTCTTGAAATTACTGTCCCTGAAGTCAACARTGGGGAATTCATTACACAAATGTAGGGCAATATTTTGTCATAGGGGAGCATAAAAGTTGCATATGAATGTAAAACTAGGGAAAAGGATCAAGGCTGAGGTAATAGAGTATTTGGGGACAATTGTGTTGTAACAAATATAAGACCTAAATTTTTGAAGGAGGGAAAGAAGCAACCTGGGATGTGTTAATAACAATGTGGTTTATATGATATAATTGTTCTGAGTAATTTGAACTTGTTGAGATCCTGCTTTTAGAAATGATCAGACTGTAGGGCCCAAGAGAACAATGAGAACAGGTCAGATTTTGCAGAAAACAGTCCAAAAAGACTCCCAAGTGTTCATGCATACAGTTTGGAAAGAAAAGGCGGGATTGAGCTGCCTTGCAGCAATTTATGAAGGCTCTTTATAAGGAACATGTCCTGGGAGTAACTGGTGAAGGAACTGGCTTAACATTTGACAGAATGTGTTGCAGCGTAAGTCTGTGATTTCCAAATTTCTGTGATTTAGCAAKTCTAAATAGTGTTCAGACAATATGAAAAAAGTTGCAAACTTGGGAATAATACAGATTCCTCCTTTTTTTGTCTTAGTATCCTCTATTGTTCTATTTATTTTTATTCAAAGTATGTTATTATGTGATTATTCTTTCAGTCATGATCCAAATTAATGAAACATTAGACTGCTGTTTTTCTTTGAAGATTGAGAATATTACAATAGTCAGTTTGTGTGYTGGTTAAAATACTGATTTCCAGTCAGCTTTGCAGTATTATTTTAGCATTATCGGTGGAATGCATAGACATCTRAGTTTTAGTGTGCAGAAGTGTGGTTGTAGAGAAGGGCAAATAAGATGCTGTTCATGTAAGGCAGTGTTTCAGTTTTGGTATGAACCATGAAATACGTAACATGTGAGATTTTARTAATCAGCTGAACAGTTTCACAGCTGAACTTTACTACTTGTKACTAATTGCTTTATCCCAGCTTAGTGAATATTCCTTAATTTCTTATGATTCACAGTTTCTGTGTGTGTTCACAAGTTACTTCAGTCTTTACTCCACACACTCTCACCTCCCAATAGTTGATTCAGACTTCATAATATGTCTTTGTTTTCTGAGCTTGCAACACTAAATAACTTTGGGAGTATGTATTCCCTATGAATAGTTTAGCTGCTGTGAAATACTGTTAGTTTTGTTGAAGGACTTTAATTTGCTTGTGTTCATAATTTCTGCTCACTCTTAAATCATTTCTGGTTTTTGCAATTTCATAAGGATTTCAAATACATTTGAATTTTAGTATTCAAACCCAATTTTAATTAGCTGAGAAAATGAAAGCCAACAACTTCTTCACAATTACTTTGAATAACTTTGTTTACCAGGATCTAAAATATCCAGACTTATGTCCTTACAGTAGAGTTTCTGTTCTCTTAATTTATTCTTTGAATTTAGTGTTCAGTCTGAAATTTCTTAGTTTATCTATCCTTTTAAGCTGGTGCTTCATCTTTATACTGCAGTTGTCAAAGGGTATTGCTCTGTGTTCTCAATGCCACCGTCACTTAGTKCTGTTTTTATTTATGTCATAATTTTCAGAATGTGTGGTTGAAAATAGAAAAAGGGAAAAAGCTCTTGAAAATAACTAGAAAATAATGTTATGTGTGGCTAAATGGTTGTATTACTGTGTTGAGTGTAGGCAGGGGATTGTCTGCTGAAGTTACCTAGTTAAACATGAAACAGAAATACATGCTTTATTTCTATGTACAACTGAATAAAGGATGCAGCTTACAAAAAGTGATGTGCTTTTGTTGCATCTGTATATATATATATATATACATTTTTATATGTATACATATTTTATATGTGTGTGTGTGTGTGTGTGTATGACAATGCGATGTTTTTAAGAAATGTTACCCATGAAACTTAAAATGAATCTGTAAGAGGCTTCATTTTTTTTTTAATTCTGAAGGAAATGCTGTGGCATGGGTAGATAAAGAAGTTTCTCTAGATGTGTTCCCAGAGTTTCCCACATTGAGCCCACCAAGATCACATGGAATGGGGAAAATGAATGCTTGTCTGCAGGTTCCTTAGCTGTGAGCAGGGAGCAACTGAGCAGTGACCGTAGGGACATTTCCTTGTGCCACTGTGGGACTGGAGCTCACCTGGCACCAGTGGGATTTGTGCTGCTGTGTGGTGGTGCATGCAGCCCCTGGGTGTTTCCTTGCCATGATGCACTCGTTGGCACCTCAGTGCTGAGGGGGAGTGGCTCTGAGTTTCTGTAAGAGCTTGTACAACTTAATCAGGAGGAAATTCAGACCACTGTTGCTCTAAACTGCTTGATGTTACATTTAAAGGACCTAGTTTCACCTGAAACTTGTATTCTCCAAATTGGGATCATGTGGGTACTTAATGTATGAAAACAGTACCTAACTCATTTTTCAACCACATATTTAGTGTGGTGTCCTAAACCGCTAAACACTTGGTATTTTTAGACATAGAAATAGATCTTGTCACATTTTTGATTAATTCTACTTGATTTTATAGAAATTATTTATTTTTTTCTTTCAGTTTAACTTTGTTGGAAGAATCCTTGGGCCCAGAGGACTAACAGCTAAACAGCTTGAGGCAGAAACAGGATGCAAGATAATGGTCCGAGGGAAGGGCTCAATGAGGGACAAAAAGAAGGTAAGATGCTGAAGGGTAGTGTAGTTTTCAGATGCATTATTTTGTTTTCCAATGGAAAATAAGTTCATATCTCTCATTCTTACTTGTTATGTTCTTACTGTTATGCGTTTTTGTTATCTGATGTCTTATACAGACTTACTAAGTAACACAGGCTGTCCTGAAGAAGTATAATGTACCTGTTCCATAATTCTGCAATTGGAAGTCTAAATAGCAATTATAAAGTATTCTTAAGTAATAAGTAACTTATAATTATGTCACGTTTCTCAAGGTAAAGATAAAAATTGAAGTTAAATGTTTTTTCTCTAGGAAAGAGCTGCTAACCGCAAAGGTCTTATTAATAACTTTCTTGTATTGAATTACCAAAGTAATGATATGTGCATGATTTTTTTTT